CATTAATTTTTATGTTGTATTCATCTACTATACTACAGTTTATGCTTATAATTATTAAAACTGTTATAAAATTCTATACAGCAGTTTATGGGTATACTGTAGCAAATATCTATGTTATCAGAGCCAGGAAGCTGATCTCTCCTCTGACCTTACTGTCAAAGTTCAGCAGATGAATGACTGGCTTGTATTATTTAATATTTCTGAAACCAAGAAGATAGTAACATTTCATCATCACTGAGCAGACCCTAAATTTCCTCCAGTCCTGAATGGTTCTACTCTCAATGAGGCTTCCTACATTAAATGTCTAGTGGAACTCACATATGAAGAATTACTAAAAGATGCTGCAAAAATTGTTTGTTCCTTGTACTGCTCTAGAAAGTACTTGACTCCTACAGCCAGGATCTATTTTACAAGAGTCAGATCAGAAAAAAATGGAGTATTGATGTGATATATGGGCTGGAGCAATACAATCCTGGACAGATTTCAAAAGTGATAACATGGCCTTTGTCAGTGAAGAACTATTTTCCACTCTACAACCTCTCTCCCACAGATGAAACATTGCTTGCCTCTCACTATTTGATGACTATTTTGATGGCAGATGTTTAGATGACCAACATTCTTTCATTCCACTAGTCCAGACAGTCACAACTAAGACCTGCCGTGCCATGTACAGAGAGTCAACTAATCTACATTCACTTCATATTCAATTGGTAAGGAGAAATTTTCACTCAGACAGCTTCTTCCCCAGGACTGTTACAATGTGGAACAGAATCCTGAAAGGATGCTTCCCTGATCACTACAATCTTAACCTCTTCAGATCCAAGGTCAACTATTATCTATCCTACATATCCTCATAATATGCTATTCTTAATTTGTTGGTTCCAATCCAATGATGGCAATGACTGCAAAATCTTTCCCCATCCCCAATTTATAGGCAGAGGCACAAAAATGCATGCTGGGATTTCTTCTTAGCCAATGAGATAGGCAACTTGTCAGCTTCATTTGACTCAGTCCCAGTCCATCTTGTCTTGAAGTCAGAATACTATGTTCATGAATCTGAATTTGCTCTTGTGTGTCAACTCTAATTATTAGTTTGTGAACTATTAGCCACATAACTGTTGCTTTGCCTTATTACTATTATATGCTTTGCATCTGTCTATATTTTCGAGATGAGGTATTATGTACATTATTTGCATTATTCGGACTATTATCCTCATCTTTGTCACTATATTTATTAGAACGTTTCAGCCGTTATACGCTCTGGCCTTGTTCAGGTGGTTGGAATGTTGAACTGAACCCTTTATTTCACTCACTGCAGTAGACTGTTCTAGTTCCACAGTATTGTCACTGGATTTAACCAATGCCTTTATCCACTGTGCCATGTATCCTCAAGGACACATGGCACAGTGGATAAAAGCATTGGTTAG